GCTCAGGGAGGGGCGGGGCCATCTGCTGTGATTGGTTGGGGTGAGAGAAGGAAGACAGGATAAAGACATGCTGTGGAAGAGAGACAGGTTAATAACAGATATGATTTAATGCAGAGAGGTCTGTAGAATGAGCTCTGCAAAAGCCAGACTGAAATTTGTCAGGATATTGGGTTTGACGGTATTTTTGAGATTGGCCTGTAAGCATTTGGCAGCATTTTTAAAAATAAGCAGGGACTTTACCAGACACCGGTCAAGTGTCAATTATGGTGAGCACACAGGGGCCGATAGACTGGAAGACATTTTTGAATAACGATGCAGGTAAAATGTCAAGTGAGCAGGACGATGCTTTCATTGAAAACGACTTTTACCAGCTCTGGTAGTGAGATGGGTAAGAAACGTTCTAAGATAACAGGCCGAGCTGGAGAAGGAACCGACTATGCAGATGCTGATGGGGAAATTTTTTTTTCTTACATCACTATTTCTTCTAGAAAGAAAGAAAAAAAATGTAAACATGGCACACAGGCCAGATCTTGTCTGAACATGTCAGGATAACTAGGCAAATATTCAGAGAAAGTAACAAATTCAGACTTCAAAAAGGAGAGAAGAAGCATAAATGAGCCACATCTCTGTTTTATCTCAGTTTAGCAGATTCTTTATGTATGTATACATGAACCATTCTGAACATGTTCTGGTTTCTTAGGTGTTGTAAGAACATCCTGTTCCTCTTCAAAGTGTAATTTCCTGCAGCAACTTGACAGATGTCAAAGCGACAACAAACCACAACATCACCGCTTTAGCTTGTTTCACTTTACTGATCTGGAGCATGGCGAGTGCAGTGGAGAGGTTGCTGTGGGCCTGCATTATCCTGGATTCTGGTGTGCGCTCGATTTCACTGCCAGAAATCAGTGATTTGAAATTCATTGAGGAATGTGTGAAGGAGCACAACTTGGCGCGGTCATCTGTCAGTCCCCCTGCTACCGACATGCTGTACATGGTACGTGAAGAAATGGCGTTTGTTTCCTCTCTCTAGTTCTGGAAAGCAGTAATAAAATCACAGTGAGTAAGCAGTGATAGAAAAAAATGACTTGTTCATGTCTTCTGTGATCTGTCTGCAGACTTTGTTGGGAATGAGGAGGTGAGGGAAAGAAAGTTATTAAAGCATGTACAGTTGTACAAAGCTTCATGCAACACATTCACAAAGCAGACTTGACGTTATTAAGCAGAAGTCAGAGGAAGTAATGTAAAAGACAGACAAAGCCACCGATAGACACAGATAGACAAGATCTTCGCTAAGTAAAGAAATAAAGAACAGTTTGGTGACAACAAAACTGTGCAATAGATTGTACTCAAACTGCCTTTCTGGCATGGCTAAAGTGCACTGCAAATGTTGTGGCAAAAACCTCGCCACAAGTTTGGAAGTCGACTCAGCCATTTGACTTTTTACTTCTGCTTGTGTATCACAAATGTAATGTACTGACTTAGAAAAACAGTGAGGAAGTCAGAAATGTGTATGCACGAAAATGAAACTAGCGTGTTAGAAAAAACTGAATTAACAAAAGATGAGGTCTAATGCTTCAAATCTTCTGTATCTGCTTATCCAGACGTGGGATGAGGCCTTAGCCATTACTGCAAAAGCGTGGGCAAAGCGCTGTATATTTGATCACAACATTTACCTCAAAGATGCTTCCCGCGTGCACCCTACCTTTCCCTCTGTGGGAGAAAACATATGGACAGCCTATCCACCATCACAATTTAATACAGCAAAAGCCATAAAGAGATGGGTGGATGAAGTAAAAGACTACAGCTACCAAGAGAACAGCTGCAATAAGGTTTGTGGCCACTACACACAGGTATGTGACCTTTCTACTGCACGCATATTGTGGGAAAAAAAAGAGAAAAAAGTGAACCATGATTTTTATATTTTTCTGCATGTGACACTTTAACCTCTTTGGTCTTTGCAGGTTGTGTGGGCCAGCACCTACAAAGTTGGATGTGCAGTACAGCTGTGCCCAGATGGCATCAAGCACTTCACTAATGAAAAAGGTGTCCTCTTTGTATGCAACTATGCCACAGCGTAAGTTGAAAACATGTTTAAATAACACAGTGAAATTAGCAAATGAAAACTTTTGTCTCAGCAGGTCATTCTGGGCTGCCCTGAGTGTCATGTGAAAAAAGGAATTTGTTTATACATATGTGTTATGCCGCAGTCAACTCATCCGAAATGCTGCTGTGAGAGTACCCACAGGAACTAGAGCCAGGGTGGAAACTCCAGGCCTCGAGGGCCGGTGTCCTGCAGGTTTTAGATCTCACCCTGGGTCAACACACCTCAATCAAATGGTTCGTTCGTTACCAGGCCTCTGGAGAACTGCAAGACATGTTGAGGAGGCCATTTAGCCATTTAAATCAGCTGTGATGGATCAAGGACACATCTAAGACCTGCAGGACACCGGCCCTCGAGGCCTGGAGTAGAAAGACTGAGCATATCTCTCCCATACTGGCTTCTTGTCATTGGCTCCCTGGCCCCGTCTTATCTCAAAAACCTTATGAAAAGTTACCTCCTTTGACAGTATCACAGTATCAGCTTAAAGCACTTGTTGCTGCTGAGTTTGCATATTTTGCTGTGGAGTACAGCCAGACTTTTGACTGCTTCGCCTTGGGCATTTTTAATCTGTAGCTCTGCTCTAAAAGAATGTACGTACTTGGGCCCGCCTACTATCCTTGAAAAGGTAAAATGATTGGCTAGAATTCAAAGTGTGTGACATCTCAGGGAAAAAAAAGCACCGAAATAAAGCACCAAAATGTGCGCTGCTTGTCGGTCTGGTTACTACCGTTTATGTCAGAAGCGGTGCCACAATGGCACTGGATACGGTACCCATCCCTAGTCATAACTTCTTACCTGAAGTTCAGTTCACCTGACGCTCGGACCGGCGGCCACCTCGGGTCTCTGCTCCTCCTGCCTAACCTTTCCCTCATCCACCTGCTGGTCTCTGTGGAAGCTCCGCCATAGCCACCACCAAACAACTGAGTTATTTTTACACACCGGCCAGCATCTGGACAATCCACCACCTTTCATTGTTTATACCGTTACAAAAAAACCCCCCAAAAAATCATCGGCCCATAAAAACGAAAAATCGCCATCGGCCCACCGGGCAGATGCCTGGTGGGCCGATGGCCAGTCCAGCTATGGTCTCTCCCTAACAATGTGATGCTGGATGTCTGCCGTTCTGAAACTCCTGTTTGCAGAAGACAGACTACAAAATCTTACCTGGGACAATGTGTTCTAACCCCGTTGTTTTATGGAAGTCATACAAACGAAAATAGTCTGTAAAAATATCATTCAGTATGATTCAAAGGCGAAATTTTAAAGACTAAGGAAAGTTTAGGGCCAGTCTGCAGCAGCACAAAGTCTTCTTTTGACATTAAAAGCTGCTGGATTCACTAAAGAGGCACAGTGTTAGTTGTGGAGAGGAGTATTTTTGCCACTGGCCTTATGTTGTGTAAGAATTTCACTTTCAACTAAATATTGTTTTAATAGCTGGGACCACATCCTCATTTAGGTTTGACAGTGCTTCTAGTAGTTAATGGCCGATGCTTTGAGCCTGAATTGAGGCTCCAGTTTGGGGAAAGCCTCAGAGGGGACTGGTGGCTCCTGGGCCAGGCAGATCCTCATGTACTAATGAGAAGTGAATGAACTGAAAAAGGGAGCAAGGGTGCAGTTACAATGATCTGAGACACTCTTTTAAAATAATGTCTGTTGTTTTTATGAATGGCCACAATTAATTATGGGACAGTGTTTTCTCCTCCCCTTTCATAAAGGTCCAGTGTATCCTATGCTAAAGGAAGCATGTTTTTAGCAAGGATGTTTGTAGCTCCAGAATTGGAACAGCTCTTAGTATGGATGCCACACAGATACTCACAGGTCACTTCTCTCACTTTTAGGACCCTCCCTAAGCAGCATGGACTGTTGGAACGAACCCACTGTGTGTTAAGTTATTAATAATCTTTGGCTCTTTTCCATAGTTTCACTTTTATCCTGTCC